ACGGTCCCTTTGGGGTGCGAGTCCTTCTCATCATTTCAACCTGAACACTTTTCATAGCTAGAAATGCCACCATCCTCTAGGTCGAGCATCCTGTAAAATACATGTAAATATGCAATAACATGACATGAAAGTAATTTTACATAGAAAACTAATATGCAGATGTATTTGTTTACGTTAGAGTGCTCATTGGAAGTGTCCATTAGCAGATGAATATGCGAATCCTGATGCCCTAATAGTTTTTGTACAGCATACATAACGCTGGATTTGAAAGAACTAGATGAAATTTCCCCATCAATTTCTTACATCCATATGCTTCACGAAACCATACAACCACACCAAGCGTTCATAGCAAATGTAGCACCCTCGACTTGCGGGTCTCCCATCTCTCCCTGATTCTTCTACTTGATTTGATCTTGACAAAGAACAGCCAACGAAAACCTCGTATCTATCTAAATGTATCTCTCTATCTCTCTATCAGCATTGATCAGAAGACCCTCCTAGCACCCACTATTCCAGTTCATTAAACAGCCATGATCAGAAGACCCATTCTTGTTCCTAATCCAAATCTCTCCCTTTCCCTTTGCATATGTAAGTCTATTCCTACATCTTACCCCTATGAAAGTTAAAGCAAACTGACATTATATCCTTCGGAGGAGGTTAAGAATGGGGGTGGGTCCACTCTTTCTATATTTAGAATAGCATGGATGTTAATGATATTAAACTTAACCTTGTTTCATTGTTGCAGGTATTAGGTTGGATGCACCACGGATCACAAAAAACTAGTGTCAAACCATTCAAACTACCCTTGTTCATTTTCTTCTAAAAGGACCCCTAGGAGTGTGCACCAATCTTAGTGGCTGACTCTCACTACGAGGAAAGGATAAAAAAGCTGTTGTTCAACCCAAAGATTGATGATCTCACGAAGATGGTCAATTGTCTCAGAATCATCTCTACTTTCAAGAATTTTCACCACTGGATGAGACCACCGATTCTGTTTGGCATCAGGACTGCCTGATCTCTGTCCAGTAAAGTTTGACATGACCACCCATCATCTAGGGTGTTCATGGGAAAAGAAGAAGGTGCAACCTCAGTGGAGGAGTTTCAGGACCTCTCAGCCCTTAAATTTTCCACCACTGGCTGAGGCCTCACATCTTTTTTGTGGCCACTCTGCAAATGGACCTCTCTCCTCAGAGAGGTTTCAAAGCAGGCATATTGATGTAAATATTGCAGCCGCCACATGATACAAATAACCTCTGAACCACTATGTTCACAGATCTGAAGATGTTCAGCCACTAGTTGGTCCATGCAAAATGTGATAAGAGGGATAGTAACCCATCATACTAAACACTTGAATAAATTATCCATTTCTTTTTCCATGTTTCAAGGAATTATTGCACCTGCCTTTCAGCACAGACGGTATCGATGACCATCTCTCCTATACTAGGCCAAACTTTGACTCCAGGTATGGATCCAGGCTCTTAAAACAGCCAAGAATGCGAGAACACTTTCTCTGAAAATGGAGTGGATGAGAACAACAGAGATGAAGCATCGATCATTAGCTCTGATCTTTTTCATGGCTTTCTCCCTATTGGAACCCTTGGTTCAGAACCAACTACCAGTGAGCCTGCAAAACCAAATTTTCCCATATCTTTGGAGAACATGACAGGAAAAAATGAAGGTGACAGAGAATGACTTGAAGCTTGTGAACAATGAATTCATAAAGTTTCTAGAAGCTGAAGCTGAAGAAGAAGGTTGTAACGACTCATTAGCAAGGAGAAGTTACTTTAGCACCATTATACTCAGCGGCATACAAATGCAAGCAACCGATGCTGAAGATTTTGGAAAGACAGTAGCATGTCCACTCCAAGGATACCTGTTTGGGTCATCAATTGAACATCCGGAAACAAGATCTGGAGTAAAGAAGGAAAAGGTATCTCTTGAAGAGATTTTGTACAAAAAATGTTACGGATGAAATCCCTTCAGAAAATGAAGTGAAAGGGGAGATGCAAGCCAAGAAAGCACATAAATCTGCCAAATACTTCATCAAGAAGATACTCACAAGGTTTCAATCTACTTCAGGAAACCCTACCCTTCTACTGGTGATGAAGCTTCCAATTCTGTTTCTACAAAGAAAAAATTTAATAAGGTGCGTCTTCCTCTAATATCATATATAATAAATTATAAGGGAAGAGACTGGTGATTCTATACATAAACAAATGATCCATATCACTGCATTCCAATGACCTCTGGTCAAATAAGTTGAATCCTGGGTTCATTTTAGAGTGCACTAACATGACATCCAGATAACAGTAGTCGAGCACAAAAATCTTAAGTTGCAGACACCTGATTCCTAACAAAACAGATCTGTAGGAATTATCATCTTACAGCTTGGATAGATCTTACAGTATAAAGCAACCATTTTGTAAGTGTTTTTGAAACTTCAAACCATCTGATAACCTAGCATCCAGCAAGATCACCCCTTATGACTCCAACTTGAATCAAGCTAAGCCATATTGATGACTGACCATTATATTTGCCAGAGAGGTTTTCATTAGACAATAATTCCTTCATGTTCACATGTAAAAAATAGTGCCACAAAAAATCATATGGGCATTCCAGAGTAGTAGTAGGAACACAATACCATTCCAAATATTTTCAACGATAAAATTTCCACCAGAATCTTATTTTTTCTCAGTTTTTGGCATGCAGGTCCTAAAAATGTTTCATATAAAAGTTCATCCTGAAAACCCATTAGCTGAAAAAGAGTTTATGAAGTCCCATATAGACAAGACAATGAATGCTCTGAATGAGGGTGGCTATAATGCAGACCTGATGCACCAGGTTAAAGACAAAAGAAAGTTTCTTCCTGGATCCAAGTCAATTGATGGGGGTCCAATGCCATAAGAACAACTTGAAACTGCCTTTTTAAGGTCATAGCTGCAGTAATTCAAGAGCAAATGGGGAATACTGGATTAAAACAGATGAAGACTGTAAGTACTAACACGTCTTGACCTTCCAAAAACATAGAACATGTAGATGATAGCATTTGGTTTACTTCAAGTATAGATAGCTGACTATGGCACCATTTATCATTTGTTACAATTTGCATAGATGAATAAAATGTTTGACATTTTAATTCCTTATCTATGCATTCAAAACACATTTATTTACAAGCAAAAGAACTGCATTAATGGGAACAAGATATGCCAAAAGCAGCAATAATGAAAGAGTCAAATTATTTACACATGGTCATATTAAGAATATCTGACACAAACAAGTAGGAAGCTCACTACTGAGCTTGCAATAAATGTCCACCAGAATGTCACCATTCATTTATTTATTTTAACGTCCAAGTACAACACCATTTTTCATAAACAAAATTTAATACAATAACTCAGACTCTCAAATGGTCATTCAATTTCAAGATGCCAAGTACAACACCATTGTTTGTAAACAAAATTTAATACAATAACTCTCTAAACTGGTCTTTCAATTTCTAGATGCTATACCATCACTAATTTCCACCTGAACTCAACTAGGCATTTTTCTTCATTCAGTCCTACCTACGACCACATGCTTCGCAAGTTAGGAACTTAGGATCACCTACATCTCCACCTATACATAAAACCAGTGTACATTTATTTATTGACAGCATATTTATATTCATTGTAAAAGAAAACAGATTCCACATTCTTATCAAATATTCAGATACATTATCTTGTTTTCTCAAAATAATTTCAGTTGAAACGTCTTAACTCTTTTGAATTCATTCTACTACGTTATGATATCTGGTTGAACATGAATCAAACTTGCAGGGAAAGAAAAATTCCAAAACAGTTAACCAATACCTGAGCAAACAATTTTTCCTCAAAGTAGACTAAAATCTAAAATTGATCTTCAATGCACAATCAAAAATATATTGTGACATGTTGACATATAAATCAACATTTCTGCCAAAAAATCAAAATAGAAAGTAAAAGAAACAAATTTAAGATGAATTTTCATTTTTTATGTCATACAATATTAGCACACAACCATTCATGTTCCAAGATAATTTAAAAATGTCTACTTAGGCCAGACATCCAGCCATTAAATAAGTCAATCATTCAATAGTGTATTTCCTTATGTATGCTACCGCATTGATAGTATTTTTATCTTTTAAAGAGCTAATTTGACCTCATTGTGACCATCAAGGTGAATTACTCATATGATTATGCTTATTGATGCACATATCTAACCCTTTTCCAATATTGATAATGTAGATTTGGTGCTGGAGCTGAAGTATACTTGCAATATGCTGTTTGATTGTAACATCTACATTCATATGTATTTGTGAGTGATTTTAATGGTCATGAACACAAGGAGATGTGAACAGCACATGGTATCCATCTTATATCTATGCATAATAATAATGCTGTGAAGACTAAGCATCATGTAACCAACTTAATTAGCAGACATGATTGGTGTTTTTACATGTTCCATTTGAATTATTTAATTATCATTCTCTTTCCAAACAAGTGATTATTCAGGAAATCAGTTTCTTCAGACACGAGAAGGTAAGATTATTAAGGGAGGAGCTCATGTTGGGCATTTGACGCCAAATCAAAATTCATCTGAAATTAAGAGAAAAAAAAGTTATTGATATAGCTAATGCTTTCAAGATCTTGATTATTTATTATTAAAAAAATCAAGCTGATAAAAGGGAACAGACCTTTACACTAACATGTCAGATTTGTTAACTCAAGGCATAGAGAAAGAGGGAAAAAGGAGATAGATAGCTGAAATAAAACAAGAGCCTTCACTTGCTAAATTTTACATCTCTAATTGAAGTAACACATACCCTACTTAGACCTACAATTTCATTAAGCAGTTTACATTGGTAATGATATTCTAAGAGATCCGCCATTATGGCCAGTTGTGCTCTCTTAGCCTCCAAATGATAGTAAAACATCGTTCCCCTCAAACCAGTACAATAAATACAATTTCACCATCTTCTGAAAGATGTTAAAAAGATGCGATAGTATATGGAAGGGTAGCACTGAAACATTTCTCATTGTTCAACTGTAACATTGCACGGTTCTGTACTAACGGAAGAAATTGAAATCTAAGTTCTCTTTTGGAGTAAACTAGTAATCAGTCCTTTTCTTTTCACAAAGCGAGCCGGTGTATATTGGTCCCAAGGCCACTGTCAAGCCCATGCAAACTATTTGTATTACAATGCCCCTCAAATCAACTATTTCCTGTTTTTATGGAGTCATACACCTCAAATTTGGGCTGGAAACTCAACATTCGAGTTTCCACAATTCACCTACCAAAACTCATCTAATCAAAATCGTTAAACAATCTATTTAGAATCGAATATGATATTGAGCAGATAGTTTTGAAAACGCATCGAATTCCAAACTGTTGGAGGTAGTGTTAGAAAAAGCACCAAAGGCATGCCTGATGCACAAGGCACTAATCTGTGATGGAAAGGGATTTTAAGGGTAAAAGCCAGGAAATCCAGCATGCATTAAGCAAGAGACTTACAAAGAAGCACATGCCTAGGGACTTACAAAGAAGCACAAAACTCATGCCTAATTAAACTTCTTGTATGTTATGTTTCTAGCTTCTGTAGTTTGATTTTTAATATACCTTTGTACTACCCATGTGACTTCTATTTATTTACTTGAGAGAGTGGGAGGAAACCTTTTACTGATATGACATGTCAATCCACTAACTATTTTTGTCAAATTTATTCACTAAAAAAACCAAACTAATTGTGAAAGAAAAACAAAAGAGAATACGTCAATTTGAAAAGGTATGGTTTGTTTGGACAAAAGAATTTGACTTTCGTACAAATGATTTTTTATTCTTTTTAATTATTATACTATTGTTTTTATTACTTTCTTTTACTGCTTAGCGAAATCATTCACCCTCTCTTAGTTAATGATGGTCATATTTTAATGACATAATTGATGCTAAGAAGGAAAAAATATATATATTATTTTGTTATTTTGCTAGCTTATTATCTCTCTATTCTATTCTGATAGAATCAAAGTTAAAAAATTATTCATTTTCTAATTAATCTATTACAAAATAAGAAACAAACATCAGGGCTATTAATGTTTTTCTTATTTTCTTCTTAAAATTAATATTTTTGTTTACATTATTACATGTATATATGAACTACAGTAAGTATTCACCTTGAGCCTAGGATCCAAGAAACCTTCATGCCTAAATGCATTTTAAGCTTTAAGAAAAATGGCTGGAGGTTGAATACAAGGGCTGGTACCTAAGCAGATTAGAAAGCAACAGGTACTATCAAGGATCCAATTCTCTCTCAAAACAAGAAAGAAGAAAGAAAAATACTATCAAGGATTTGGATTTTAGCAGCAAGACATGTTTCTGATATAATTTCCAAAAATTCCAGCTTTTGGCATAAACATATAGAACTAGAACCATTCAGGTCAAACCTCATAGCATAAAATGTGGTAAGGTAGGCAATAGTCCACTTCAAGGTTACACTGGAAGGAGCTCTTCCCTCAGAAATCCGCCCATTTCCATCCTCCAGGAATGATCAACTAGAGCTGCTAACTCTCTGGAAGAGAAACCAGAAGCTCTATCAGTAGAAGTAGCACCATATGCATATAGTGGAAAGAGACACAAGATGAGCAAATACAAGTGGTGTCCTATGATAGGTGAAGGTTCAATAAATTAATTTGAGGAATCTGTAAATTAAACTACATTGGATTCAGGAAATCAGGCTCAGATACCAAGCAATAGGAAGAGCTTGGTTGGTGGAGTCTCTAAGCATTCTAATGAGATTACCAATGTCTTTGTTTATGAACAACAGAAACTAAAAATACAGTTATTATAACCCATGCAAATTATACAACAACATCCATATAATTCTTATGAGATTACTTATTTCTGAAAACATGAACTAGAAATACAGTTATTTGAACAGCTAAAATATGACGGCACATGAAGCATTAGTATAGAACCATACGAACAAGAAAAACAGTATGTTAACAGAAAAGGAAGGTGGGAAATTCAGAAGAAAAGGTCCAAAAGACAAGACTCGGATTTGGACAGTTAAACAGACTTACTTGAGATCATGACTGACAACAAGGATAGTCAATTCCTTCTTCAAGTGCTTCAAAAGCTTTACAACATCTGCACGTGCCTTCCAATCTGATAACCAAAGCGTGTAATAAAACAAACTCACTACAGCATAAAAGAATGAACAAATGAAGGTAGGTGGATATACTGAAACCCTATAGTGGAAATGTGTTAAATGCCTATCACTTCAAATCTCAAGAAGAGCTTTTAATAACTAATAACCATGAGGCTAAACATTGCATTTTAGAATTTGACCCACAAAAGGGATCAAATTGAGTTTGAAGTTAAAATGATCTGAATTGAAAAAAAGTAAAAGTGACACAAGCGGTCTTGATAGCAAGCTGGTACCAGTCCTTTTTAGAGAAGTCAAAGATCCAAATTACTGGGGCAGAGAGATATGGTAAGGGGTACCACTGATGTGTAGTTTGGCATCACTGATGAAAAGAAAGGAAATAACAGAAAATTCAAATCCATAACTTGGTCATCAAATAGCTGATGTTTAGGCATCGAGATCAAACATGCTCAGAGCAGGCCTCTCTTGACTCTTAATTGCTAAAAATATTCATACATTTAAAATTTGAGAAAACTGCATTTACAGGTTCAGGTGTTCTTAAATGCTGATTAGCTTCAAAAAGATCACACTAACCATCCTCAGTGAGTTTAAACAAGAGGGAAGACAAGGAATGGTTTAGGAACCAAAAATTACTGAGTGTAACCCCTTACCTAGACCAGCAAGAGGCTCATCCAATATCAACAGATCAGGGACTTCAACCTGAACATTAGATTGAGAACATTCATTACTCAAAGCATGCTATGAGTATAAAGGTTGCAAAACTACCTAGTTACATATAGGTTCTTACCAATTGAATAGCCAGGGCAAGCCGACGTTTATATCCACCACTTAGCGAGTGAGGATCTTTATCCAATGAGATCCCATTCAATCCAACCTAAAGTTATCATTAAATTAAGATGTAATGTAATGTATCATAGACAACCTCAAGAAAAAAATGACCAGAAAAAGAAAAGGTAAAACATGACAATTTTTTTAAAATTAAAAAAAAAAAAAAAAAAAAAAAAAAACAGGTACCCAATTTACAGCTCTTTGCAGATTCAAAGCAAGATGCTCCCTTAATTGAACGCTGCTCTTTCGCCTTGGCCACCCAAATGTAACTTCATCAGCAATAGTGTCAGCCACAAAGTACCTTGCTTGCAGTAAACAACATTCTTGAAAACTTAACTGTATATAAACCTAAAGCCGGAAATGGCTCGATGTAGATAGCAAGCATTCGAAATTTCCAAATTATCAAAGGACGAATACCTCTCGGGAAATTGAAAGACAATACCAACTTTTTCAGGAGAGAGCTGTTCAGGCAATTGGTTTGGATTTCCATCATTCCCATATCTTTGAACACAAATCGAACCTGACGTTGGTTTGCTTATCCCGGAAAGAAGCTACAAAAAATAAAAACCCAAAATTACAAATTACAAGAAGGACCAAAACAACATTTCCAATTCAATTAACAGCAGTTATAAACCTGCAAAAGAGTAGTTTTTCCACTCCCACTTTGACCAAAAATCAAGCCAAAACTACATCAATCAGAGCAAGAAGAATAAGATTCATACAGCAAAACACATGATTGAATTAATTAACGTATTAAATCATTACCTTCTCTCTGGAAGCGAAAAGGTAACTTTATTTAAGAGATTAAGCTCAGTCCCTGGAGGTCTATAGCTAACATCCTTAACCTGCAATTAACACTTGATGATTTTAATTAATCCTACAGTGATTAACTATTTTAATAAAAAAGCATACAGGAATCATCAGCAGCAGCAGCTGCTAATGATTAGGGAAAAAAAATAGAAAATTAATTACTCGCCTCAAAGCAAGAGTAGCCGCAGTAGATTTTGTGATTTTGTGGAATTCTAATAAAATCGAGTTTAGGTGAGACTCGTTGTGGTGATAATCGAAGTGGCTTGTGATTAATTGAGGACTGAACTGTTGATAAAGAGGAAGTTGCCATCTCAGAGGCGGGAGTTTCGGTTCAGATGACTGAACTGAGTGACGGTGGCTTACGCTGTATAATGCAGTGAAACGTACAGTCGCTTTGTAATTTATAATCTTTTTTAGTCATTTTTAAACCTTTTATTTTGGAGCAACTTTTCAATTTCATAAAAGATACTTTTTTAATATATATATATATATATATATATATATATATATATCAGGAAAAAAAAAACTTTACAGAATTATATATTGATTAGATATCATTTAAATTGTAGAAACATATTGCATATTGAAGTGTTTCATAATTATTTTCTGGAATTATTGAATCATTTATCCATGTTTTTTACAGAGACTTTATGAACATATATTAAATAGTATTTCTCTTGATATCATGTTAATACTAGTCGTTTTGCTTAAGTGACACAGACCATATTCGAATAAAGGCCAATGATTTTAATATTATAAAGATTTTAATTAATAATTCAGAATAATTATTTAATTTTTACTTAGATTTTCATTTAGTTTGACTTGTATAATGATGTTGAATAGATAGATATTGAAAAAAATGCATAACCTTTCATGAATTACCAAAATTATTTAGCAACTAAAGATATAAAATTTATTTATATTTTTTAATATTATTATATTTTAGGATCCTCTATGATCCATTCTTATCATTGTTTTTACAAATTTAAATAATTAAATAATTTTTTTATGGATCATCCATGAGTTATTTATTTTTATTATATATTGTATTGTTGTGGTGTTGTTTTTTAAAGTATTTTTATTTAGAAATATATCGAAATAATTTTTTTATTTTTAAAAAATTATTCTTAATATCATCACATCAAAATAATCTAAAAACATAAAAAAATTAATTTAAAACAAAGAAAAAATTAAAACTTTTTAAAAAATTATTTTTAAAATACAAAAACAAATGAGCTTTTAAAGACATTGTCTTACCAAATACACAACAATCCTACTATGGTAGGTAACTTTCAAGAGGTTCTAAATTTGAATCTTCTCTAATTTTTACAATATTATAAGAAAAAAAATCATCTTCTTTCAATTAATTGTTATTTGTGATTCATTAAGAGAAGTCTAAGTATAGATGTATCATGATTTTTTTTTCTGTTGGAAATTTGTTTAAATTAGTTAATATGCATTTTTATGTCAAAATAAAAGTGAGATTTACTCATTTTTTAGATTAAAATTTTGTTGGGATTTAATCTCCAACATATGTTTTTTAATATAGAATATTAACATGATTTAAATAAGTTATGGGAGAATGAGAAATTAATCTTAAAGAGTTCTAGGTTGGCATATTTTGGTGAAACCCAAAACCCTTTAAAGAATTTTATTCCGTTTTAGAACAAACATAAAATTTTCTTATTGTTTATAAAATGAATAATTAAAAAGTTAAAATTGAACTAAAAAAACAACCAAACTTTTAAAGATGCGAGGTTTTAGTAAAGTGGGCTTCATGATTAAACAAGTTTGCATGCTGGCTCAGTGATTAGTATTTAAAAGTGTATTTTTTATTAAGATTTTATATCATCATTTTTCACTTGAAGTATCAATAACTCCTTAACTAAAGCATGTTTTATAATAACATATTTAATAATATAAGATACCTTTAATTCATGGTAAATGTTTATTTTAAATGCAAGTCTATCACATAAATAAAAGGATTGATTGATGAATTTAAGAACTGAAATTGAAAGGATAAAAAGATGACCAAACTTAAAAAAGAGATGTTGATACAATCCAAACCGGAACACTATTCTGTAATTGGGTCATATCTGGAGTTGTAAATCTCAGTTAGGTCTACTTTATATGGATGGAAAGGTAAGATATAGGCCTACAACTTTTATAGGAGCCCAAGACTTAAAAAGACTATTTTCAAGTTCAAATTGTTGCAACAACAAAGAAGTCTGAATCTATCCTTCAGCCCTAGCACTGTTCAGTGTTTGGCCTATATCTGGAGTTCTAAAAGTCCAAATGACCTTAATTTTTTACAAAAGAAAGCTGATATAATTTCCTAAAACTTTCATGTTTTCAAATGGTTCTAATTTTAGCATTGTTAATGACCTCTTTGGCAAACAAGAAAAGATAAGGATTGTCACCAAGTCAAGAGTTGGTTACCCACTCATCAATTAGTCATCAAATCAATAATTCCCAATTTTGGCCTATAAAAGAAGGCATTTGCCATGCATTTAGGTATCTTGGTTTCTAGATCAAGATCATGCTCTTGTTTTCTCTTTTTGTATTTTTTGTAATGTTTATGCTCTGCTTTCATTAATATCAAGTTTATGCCTTTCATTTCCCTTCATTTACTTAGTTAACTTTTATCTTATTTATGTTCTTATTTTGTTTTGTTTTTTTTTCTTTCATTATGTTTAGTTAAGTTTATTATATTAAGGTGAAAAGGTTACACTAATGGTGTAAGAATAAGTATAGTGTAAACTTAATATGGACTTTAATGTTTGATACTAACATGTTTTGTATTTGTTATCTTGTTTATTCTTTAATACTTGCTTGTTAAATGACTAATATAGATTTATGTTGTATAACACTTGGTAGAAAAAATACTTGGCACTCTCATAACTTATACTATATGGTATAACCGACACTTAAGCTATGAAATGAATTTGATTTGTTGTTAACATAAGTTATAATCATAAATGCCTAACGAGATTTATAAGTATTAGCATTAATCGAATAAGATAACTAATGTAATCATATTAACAATTTATAATCTGATTGGAACCTCCTTTGTGTGTGGTTTCCAATTAAATAATAAGAGTTTATACTATACTTGTTTGACATACCATTTATGAAACCTCTAACCTTGATATTTATTTTTATCATTGTTTAATCCTTACATTAATATTTCATCTCAAAGTTCTCATCTTCTTATTCTTATTCTCCTTCTTTTTCTTTATTATTATTACTGCTACTACTACTACTATTGTTGTTGTTATTGTTGTTGTTGTTGTTGTTATATTATTGTCATTTATAATTTATACAATTAATGTCTTTGTGGTTCGACCCCGATCTTGCCGGATTATTTATTACTTCGACACTCCTGCACTTAGAATAAGATATCAATCTTTTAATCGTGTTACTCAGCTTGGGCATAAGATTAGTTTAAGTTTATTGTAAAATAATATTTTGGGCTATAAATTTATTTTTTTTGTCAAATGAAATTTGAACTTGGGCCAGCCCAGCTTATAGATGTTATCATAACCCAATTTTAGCCCCCTAGAAAAAAATTCTTTTATGTAACTTTTTTTTTCTTTTTTAAAAGATTTAAAAACCCAAAAAGATAATAAATCCAAAATCCAAAAAAATTATTTGGGACACAAATAGATATGCTTTTGAGTCACAACAAGTCAAAATGCTAGAAGGATAGTAAAAGTGGAATATTATTGATAAAATATGCTTAATTAAGGACTTAGTTAAAGCAAAATTAAGTTTGAAAGTCAATTTAGAACAATTAATTAAGTTCAAGAGCTTATTTAAAATTTAAATGGGTTTAATTGACTTCATTAAGGATTTAATTGAAGCAAAATTGAGTTTAAAAGTCAATTTGACCAAAATTGAAAGAATTAATTAAATTCAAGGGCTTAATTAAACTTTTAATGAGTTTAATTAACTTAATTAAGGACTTAATTGAAGAAAAATTAAGTTTGAAAGTCAGTTGACCAAAATTAGAAGAATTAATTAAACTTTTAATAAGTTTAATTTATTTAATTAAAGACTTAATTGAAAGAAAATTAAGTTTAAAGGCCTAATTCAAGTCGATTTGCAATAATTAAAAGATTAGGGACCCGATTAAACTTTGAAAAGCCTAATCGGTGTAATCAGAGGCTTAATTAAAAATAATTAGAAGTATAAAAGGCCAATTAAAGATGAGATTAAAAATATCCAAGACCAAGGACCATATTAAAAAGGCATTAAAGTCAAGGATCTAATCAAAACATTCTAAAGGTGAAATTAAAAAAATTCCCAAAAATTAGTTTAATTAAGGGATTAATTAAAAAAACTTAAAAGAGTGGGATTAAATTGAAAAAGGTATTGTAAATGAAAAGTCATTTATTTTTAAAAAAGAAACTATAAATGAGATGTTGTTCAACTACTATTCATTTTCTTCTTAATTTTAACCTGAAAGTACTATTTGAGTCGTCATGTTTCAACTTAATTTTATCCTTCATTCTCTCACCAAAATACCTTAAAATTCTCCTAAAATAAAGTAAGGGTTTCTCTCAACAAGACCCAACCATCAGGAATCAATTATTTAATTTTCAAAGACCTTAAAAATACTATTATAACCAATTTTATTTATAACTTATAAAAAACATGTCTGAGTTGTGCTTTTTTAGACTCCTCTACACTTTTATCCTTTAACTAATCAAGATCGTAGGTGTCCAGATTATTAACCAAGATGTTCCCACCCAATTCCAACCACTTAAATCTTCTTCCTATGCTCTTAAGATTCTAAAAATAATCACAACAAACTCATACCACAATAACCAAAAATTGTAGATAGTGTAAGTAACTATTTTGACAACTAAAAAATAAAATAATATTTTTTTCTTAACTGTAATCAATTGTTATTCTTTCTTTTAAGACATTAAGGGTGGAGGAGATTTTATCAACTCACAAACCCTAGAACCTTTTTAAGCAAATTCCAAGCTTGAGTGTTTATTTTTAACTAAGGATATACATGTCAAACACAAACTAATATTTTTGTTTCAACCTTGTATTTATGTTTTTTTATGGATGTTTTGCTAAATACAAGCTTAGTAAAAATTTAGATTTTCAAAGGGATCTTTATGCAATTAATTTTGTGTTTTTTAAATTGTTTTACCCTTTTATATTTAATATCTGGGATTGTAAATTTGTATTTGAGATGTTTTTGCAATATTAAATAAAATAATTTTTTTAATTGAAAAACAAAAAAAATCCTTCTTTAAAGAAATCCATTTGTGTTTTAAATTGCATATGATAAAGTTTCTAAAAAAAATCATATTTGCATTTTTAATAAAAAATATAAAAATAAAAACAAAAACAAAAAGAGAAAAAACCAAAAAAATTGCATG